CGATCAAAAAGTAGCGTTAGTTAGACTTGTCAGTTATTTCCCTCTTTTTGAAATATTCTGTACCTTCTCATGCCTTCTTTTTCTTTCCATTTTATCTAAACCGTTAATATTTTTCCCCCGACTTGTAAACTTACATGACTTGGCAGAATTGCGTTCGTGAGGCTCGTAAAACCGGATTCATTCTAAGTTCTAATGCGAACGCGGTGACGTCATCCCGAACGACTTTAATGCCACGTGTTCTTATTTATTATCGCTTTGATGAGGTCATTACGTCTCAGAAGATTATATTGATTCTCGAAGGAGTAATAATGCAATAATAAGGTCGTGATAGGCGGGTTTTATATCGGAGTGAATCGTTGCGAGGGAGACGCAGAGGGAGAAAGGAAGACGGAAAGAGAGGGATTTAAAATGGATTTAAAATCAACTTAAAAAGATTTTTTTCTCTCTCTCTCTCTCTTACACATACGTGACATCCTAAGTAATCTTCATCAGTCGGTTTGTTATCCTTTTCCTCCTCCTCTTCCGCTGTTTATCTTCGTCCTCGCCACATCCGCCTCGTATCTGCTGACGTCACGGTTGCGTCATTATGCACTTTCCCCTCATTCGCTTATCGTTCTTTTTACTCTCCGTTTCGTCATCGGAAAAGATACGGATTTTGGGATTTTCTTAACCGGGAAAAATTGCCTGCGATTTCTTATGTTGTTTGTTGGTTGGGCTTGCTTTCGCGGATTTGTTTATTGGGGGTTCCTTTCTGTGGACTTCTTACCCCTCCTCCTCATCCTCATCCTCATCCTTCTCATCCTTCCTTCCTTCCTTCCTTCTCCTCCTCCCCTTCCTCCCCCTCCCACTCCCCTCCCTCCTCCTCCCTCTCCCCCTCCTTCTCCCCCTCCCACCTCCCACTCCCCCTCCTCCCTCTACCCCTCCTTCCTACCTCCCTCCCTCCCTCCCCTCTTCCTTCCTTCCTTCCTTCTCCTCCTCCCTCCCTTCCTCTTGGGTAACCACGCGTCGCCTCCCTCAGGTATCTACCCATTAGTGGCAGGTGAATTGCCTTTAATAAGAGAATACTTAATGTCTCGAGATACCACTGACTTGAGATATACTCGGCCATAAGGACGATTTTGGAAGAGAAGGAGGAGGAGGAGGAAGGAGGAGGAGGGGGAGGAGGAAGGAGGAGGAGGAGGAGGAGGAAGGAGGAGGAGGAGGAGGAGGAGGAGGAGGAGGAGGAGGAGGAGGAGGAGGAGGAGGTGGAGGAGAATGGAAGGGGGAGAAAGAGGAGGAGGTAGAAGAGGAGGAGGAGGCGGAGGAAGAGGAAAAGGAAGAGGAGAAGGGAGGAGGAAGAGGTGGAATAGTAAGAAGAGGAGGAGAAAGAAGAGAAGAAGGAAGAAGAGGAGAAGGAGGAGGAGGAAGGGGAAGATAATGAAAGGGAGGAAAAAAAGGTTTATAAACGCGCTTTTTCCGAACCGAAGCTATACATAAGAGCAACGTTACCAACGATCACGTGATTCCCCTCCCCCCACCACCCACCCACCTTCCTCCCTCCCTTCCACTACCCCCTTCTTCCTCCCTTACGCCCACCCTGACTTCTTCGTCCCCCCTCACACACATTTTTTCTCTCTCTCTCTCTCTCTCGTCTCTCTCGTCTCTCTCTCTCTCTCTCTCTCTCGTCTCTCTCTCTTCTCTTCTCTCTCTCTCTCTCTCTCTCTCTCATTCTCTCTCTCTCTCTCTTTCTTTCCTCCTCCTTTCTTCCTCTCTCTTTCTCTCTTTCCTCGTTTTTCATTACCCATTTCATTATTCCTTTCCCTTTCTTTCCTTATTTCTCCCCCCCCTCCTCTCTCTCCTCTCTCTCTCTCTCCTCAGCTCTGCTCTCTCTCCTCCTCTCTCTCGTCTCTTCTCCTCTCTCTCTCTCTCTCTCTCTCCCTGCTCCTCTCCTCTTTTTCCTCCTCTTTCTCCCTTTTCAAACCATCTCTCCTCCCCTCTCTCTTTCTCTCCTCTACCCTTTCTCCTGCACTCTCTTCCGTCTCTCCCCTCTCACACTCCCCCCATCTCTCTTCCCCTCCCCCTTTCTCCCCACTTTCTCCTCCTTCCCCCTCTCTCTCCCCATCTCCCCCCTCTCTCTCCCCATCTCCCCCGTCTCTCTCCCCATCTCCCCCCTCTCTCTCCCCATCTCCCCCCTCTCTCTCCCCATCTCCCCCCTCTCTCTCTCCTCTCTCCTCCTCTCTCCCCCACCATCCTCCCCCCCCCCACGTGAGCACTCCCCGCGGATCAACGCCGGGTCTAAACGGTATGATTAGAGACAGCAGGACACGATAGTCTGTCTTACAAGGATTTAAGAGGGTGGGGAAGGGGGGAAAGGGGGGGAGGGGGGAAGGGGGAAGGTGGGGGAAGGAGGGATATGGATGGGAGGAAGGGGGGGAAGGAGGGGAAGGGGGGGAAGGAGGGAGGGGGGAAGGGGGAGGGGGGGAAGGTGGGGGAAGGAGGGATATGGATGGGAGGAAGGGGG